TCTTTTCCTGTACAGAAGCTTTTTATTTTGATGTAGTTCCATTTGTTTATTTTCTCTTTAGTTTCTGTTGCCCTGGGAGCTTTATCAGTAAAGATATTGCTTCAGCATATGTCTGAGATTTTGCTGCCTGTGGATTCCGCTAAGATTTTTATAGTTTCCTGTCTTATGTTTAAGTCCTTTATCTATTTTGAATTTATTTTTGTGTATGGTGTAAGTTGGTGGTCTAGTTTCATCTTTTTGCATGTATCTGTCCAATTTTCCCAACACTATTTATTAAAGAGACTGTCTAGACTCCATTGTATGCTCTTGCCTCCTTTGTCAAATATTAATTGAATATAGTGGTTTGGGTTGATTTCTGGGCTCTCTATTCTACTCGATTGGTCTATTTGTCTGTTCTTGTGCCAGTACCAGGCAGTTTTGAGAACAGTGGCTTTGTAATACAGCTTGATATCTGGTATTGAGATCCCTCCTACTTTGTTCTTCTTTCTCAGGATTGCTGCAGCTATTCTGAGTCTTTTCTATTCCAGATTAATTTTTGGAGAGTTCGTTCCAGGTCTGTGAAATATGCCATTGGTATTTTAATGGGATTGCATTGAATCTGTAGATTTCTTGGGGTAGTATGGACATTTTAATGATGTTGATTCTACCAATCCATGAACACAGTATGTTCTTCCATTTGTTTATGTCTTCCTCTCTCTCTTTTTTCAGTGTCCTCTAGTTTTCTGAATATAGGTCTCTTACCTCCTTAGTTAAGTTTATTCCTAGGTATCTTAATTTTTTTGGTGCAATGGTAAATGGGATTTTTTTACTCTCTGTAATTTCACTATTGATGTATAAAAATGCCACCAATTTCTTGGTGTTAATTTTGTATCCTGCTACATTGCCAAATTCATTTATTAAGCCTAATAATTTTTTGATAGAGTCTTTAGGGTTTTCTATGTACAGTATCATGTCAGCTGTAAATAATGACAGTTTTACGTCTTCTTTTCCAATTTGGATACCTTTTATTTCTTCTTCTTGTCTAATTGCTATGTCTAGCACTTCCAGTACTATGTTGAACAGGAATGGTAAAAGTGGGCATCCCTGTCTTGTTCCTGTTCTTAGGTGAAATGGTTTTAGTTTTTGCCCATTGAGTATGATGTTGTCTGTAGGCTTGTTGGCTATAAGGCTTTTATTATGTTGAGGTATAATCCCTTTATTCCCACTTTGCTGAGGGTTTTTATCAAGAAAGGGTTTTGGATTTTGTTAAATGCTTTTTCTGCATCAATTGATATGACTATGTGATTTTTATCTCTCAGTTTGCTTATGTGATGTATCGTGGTTATTGATCCTACTTGGTCATGGTGTATGATCTTTCTGATGTAATGCTGGATCTGATTTGCTAGAATTATGTTGAGGATTTTGGCATCTATGTTCATGAGGGATATTGGCCTATAATTCTCTTTCTTTGTGTTGTCTTTATCTGGTTTTGGTATTAGGGTAATGTTGGCTTCATAGAATGAGCTTGGAAGTGTTCCTTCCTCTTGAATTTTTTGGAATAGCCTGAGGAGGATAGGTTTTAGTTCTTGTTTGAATGTTTGGTGAAACGCCACTGTGAAGCTATCTGGTCCTGGGCTTTTGTTTGCTGGAAGCTTTTTGATGACTGCTTCTATTTCCTCCCTAGTTATTGGCCTATTGAGATTTTTTAGATTCTTTCTGATTGAGTTTTGGAAGGTTGTATTTTTCTAGGAATATGTCCATTTCCTGTAGGTTGTCTAGTTTGTTGGAATAGAGTTCATAGTATTTTTTTTTTTTGGTCTCTATGTCATTTATTTCTCCTCTGATCTTTTTTATCTCCTTCCTTCTTCTCCCTCTGGGCTTTTCTTGTTGCTCTCTTTCTAATTCTTTAAGTTGTAGAGTTAGATTATTTATTACCATTTGTACTGTTTTTTAAGGTAGGCCTGTAGAGCTATAAACTTCCTTCTCAGGACTGCTTTCACTGTGTCCCATAGATTTTGTTTTGTTGTGTTTTCATCAAAAGAGAAGGTTTTGAAAAGTGAGCTCAAATTTACCAGTCACCAAGTCTCACAATGACATATATATCTCCACCAGGGGGAGCAGAGAACAAGAGTTTCAACCAGAAAACAGCTGGTTTCTGAAAACCTATTCAGAGATACAGATAACATAATTCCTTTGTATTTTCTAAACATTCTTACAGCTTATTACTTCCTCCTACTTCTGCCAAATAAAGGAGTTTCCTATTCTCAGTATCATCCTATGACTGTCACACTACACAAGGGCCCAGGTGTCCTATTTGAGCAAAACCCTATAAACTCAAAATCTAAGACTCAAGAATTTCATTTAGGTTGTTCTCAAATTTACCTAAGTTCAGCCTAGGCAAAAGAGTGGCTGTGGATTTTTGTTTAGTGTTTATCTCATCTGTCCCAGGCATTAAGTGTGGTGCTGCTGTGCACACAGATGCATAATTATTCAGGCAAGGAGTCCAGCAGCACGGCCACTTGGTTACTGCCCAAACAATGCAGCACATGGACTCTCATCTCAGTGTAATCTGAACAACTGTGAAGTTCACATTTCTGATTTAAATGAACAAGATAAATAAATGACTGATAACAGGATTTATTTGAAAGAGCAATCTTTAGAGGATGTCATGAAGTCAATATAGTTTTACCCTCATCTTCACACTCTTTAGCACATTGGACCACAGCAAAACTCATGCTCAGAATGATGAGGCTAAAGCAGAAGAAAGCTTTGTAGTCACACGGATAACCAAAGATTAGTGTTAAATATACATTGTTTAATTTAACTCTATGAAAACTGGTAAATTTATACAAGATACATAACTCACAATTGTTTTTAAAGAGAGGGTTATTATTTTATTTGGATGAATATGTTCAATTCATTATGTTCACCCAGAACTAACTTATCTTCCTTCCTTCCTTCCTTCCTTCCTTCTTTCCTTCCTTCCTTCCTTTCCCTCCCCCTTCTTTCTCCCCCTCCCTCCCTCCCTTTCTCTCCCCTTTCCTTTCCTTCCCTTTCCTTTCCCCTTTCTTTTCTTTCTTCAATTTCACCCATTCCCCCCACCTTCCTCCCCTTTGGCAAACATCAGCTTGGTCTCTATAACAATGGGTCTATTTTTGTTATTTTGTTGTTGTTTTTCAGATTCCACATATAAGTGAAATCATATGATATTTGTTTTTCTCTGTCTGTCTTATTCCACTTAGCATAATGCCTTCTAGGTCCACCCATGTAATCACAAATGGCAAAATTTCATTCTTTTTTAATTGCTGAGTAATATTCCATTGTGTGTGTGTATATATACTAGATATATCTCACATCTTCTTTATCCATGTATCCATCATACATGAAAAATAACTCTCAATTAAGCAAAACCAGGCAACTCCATTTATTAACTATTTTTACTAAATGGCAGTTCATTGCCTCTCCTAAGACACTTGGTAACTTGCCATTGGTATTTGAGGACAATTAATTTGTCTACCAGTAGACATTCACTTTGTGACCTTATACTCATCTAAGACTGAGAACTAAGAACTAAGAACACATCTCTCAGCTGAACATTCAACTATTTAACACTTTACAAAAGGCAAGTGGACCTGTTCAGAAAACATCTCCCTGTGTGGAAACATAGTATAACCCTTATTAAAACCAGAATAGAATGAATATCACACAAAGAATCAGATAAAAACATGTCAAATAGATCACTGTAAGTCCCCTGTGGTCACTGACTGTTGGCTGGCGCTTTTTTTCATTCACTTACATACTAAAGAATAGTGAAAGTTAGCTTACATTCCAAGTTCGGTTTGTTGTAGCCTTGTGTCTCATTTCACAGGAAACCTTTTCAATTGTTGTTTGACTATTCCAATGAATTATGGTCTTGGGGACTGTAGTATTTATATCATCTTCAACCCTGAAAATGATAGCTTCAGAAGGTATCACTAGGAAAAAAGAAAAAAAGAAAACCCAGCAATTTAAAACTTGCCTAGAGAGAAATGTGTGTCTTTTCATCAATCTACAGACGTGTTAAAATTCAGTACTGCCCTGGCCACATAGTTCACTTGGTGAGAGCATCAACCCAATATGCCAAGGTTTAGGTTTGATCCCCGGTCAGTGACACACTAGAATCTACCAATGAATGCATATATAAGTGGAACAACAAATCAATATTCTCTCTCTCTCTCTCTCTCTCTCTCTCTCTCTCTCTCTCTCTTTCTCTCATCAATAAATAAACCTTAAAAATTATAAAAAATTTTAAGTACTAAAAATAATTCCATGATCTAGTTAATAATTAATGATTTTTTTTTCTTGTTTTCTATTCTGTTATATAGGAAACAACTGGGGTTGCTAAGTAAAATTCTTTTCAGCCCATTCTTCAGTTCTTTTAAAAGGAAC